TGATGATGATGGTGATGATGGTGATGATGATGGTGATGATGATGATGATGATGGTGATGATGCCGTTGCTGATGATGATGATGCTGAAGATAATGATGTTGATGTTGATGTTGGTGTTGATGATGATGCTGCTGATGATGATAATGATGATGATGATGATGATGATGATGATGAGGATGATGAGGATGTGGATGAGGATGATGATGAGGATGAGGACGATGACGATGACGATGACGATGATGATGATGATGATGATGATGATGATGATGATGATGATGATGATGATGATGATGATGATGATGATGAAGATGAAGATGAATAGGAGGAGGAGGAGGAGGAGGAGGAGGAGGAGGAGGAGGAGGAGGGACACTGGCCGAGAGGGGGCGGCGAGGGCGGACCAAGTAGCAGTAGCATACGGCGAGAGGAGAGTCCCAGGCTCCATCTGTCACAGAACTCACACATTGAAACTGGCCTCCCCAGAAATTTCAACAGAAAGGCCACGATAGTTTGGATGAGGCACGGGGCCTCCAAGGCTGAGACAGGCGTTCACCATGCAGCGTTTCAACGCACCTTGCACATTCATTCGCGCAGCGCAGAGGAGGAGGCGAGGGACGAAGGAGCCACTAAGGTAGGCAGCGCACGAGAACGGTCAAATTCGTCGCCCTCCCCCTGAATCGCGATGATATCCGCTGGGAGGGCCCATGCATCGGCGATGCCGCCCATGGGAGTCGCAGAACGCTTGCACTGCCGACGCGCTTCGAATTTGCAGACCTGCCATTCTACGCATGAATATGTTTTTGTGCCCGATGCCCAGATCCATGCCACACATATACTGTACAGAGGAGGCAGAGGAGGCGGAGGAGGAGGAGGAGGAGGAGGAGGAGGAGGGGGAGGAGGAGGAGGAGCAGGAGGAGGGGGATGCGTAGATGAGCCCAGAGTCGCGGCGGACGTCGCAGGGAGGAGCGAGGGCCGAGGAGGCGGAGCGGGCATCCCTGAAGGCGGCTCGATCTCGCCTGCGGACGCTGCGGGCGCGGGGGCGCCGAGCCACTCGGGCTCTCGGAGACACCCAGGTCGGCGTAGGCGGAGTCGACGAGAGCGACGTCGCAGTTCGGGGCGTCATCAACGGGGTCGACGTTGAGCGAGGGCTCACAGGCGGAGATGGACTCGTCCGCGACGAACGAGCGGCTCCAGGAGGGAGTCGGCGCCCCACGGGCTGAATCGGGGAAGGCGGCCGCCAGCGAGCCGACGTCGTAGCCGTCTGAGTCCGCCTCCATTTCCTGCATTGCCGCCAGCTCCAGTCGGAGTGCACATCATCACCAGGGCCAGCAGGGCCGCCATCAGCAGCAGGGACGACGTGGTGCAGGAATCCCCGCACCCCGAGCGAGAGAGCGTCGAGGGCGCCTTGCAGAGCAGCACGGGCACCAGGAAGACGAGCGTCTCCAGGCGAGCCGCTGGCTCTCTGCAGCGTCGCACCGGCAGTTGCAGGCGGGTGCCCCCCGCCAGGCGAGACCGTTAGCATCGCCTCCAGGAGGCGCAGGGTCGGACGAGCTGCCAGCCGGCCGGGACCTGCACGGCATGGTCGCCCGCGAAGAGGACGCCTGTCGGGAGCGGCCAAGAGGGGGGCGTGCAAAAGGGGGAGGCGCAAATCATGACCGGCGGCACGTGCGCGGCCCAGGAGGGGGGCGCCCGGGACGTATTGAAATGAGAAGAAGCGCTATGAGATCCGGGGAGATACCATGGCCCGCGCCATGATATCCCCACCCCCCTAGTCGTCACACACCCCCAGTCGTCACACCCCCCTTCTTGGCCGCCCCCGAGCCTGCCCGGTGGCGTCCCAACAATGAAGGGGAGGCCTCGCACCGGGGCCGAAGCTGTGGTCGAGCTCGTGGTCGGACAGGCTCTCGCGTCGCCGAGCGGGGGCCGCGGCTCGAGGGTGTCGTTCGTGCAGTGGGGGCCCCTGCCAGTAAGCACCCTGCGTGCCTGCAGGGTGCCCTGGGTTTCTTGGGCTTCGATGGCTTTGCCCATGGAGAGCGTGACTCTCCCGCACCAAAAATCCGTGGACGTTCTGGGGTCTCAGGGCTAGTCTTCTTGGTGGAAGGCTTCTTGTGGTCGGGCCCCTACTGCAGCGTCGGCGATGGCGTCCACGGCGGCACAATCAGCATCGGTCGGCGACGGGCATCCATCTGGGTGGCCGAGGCAGCCTCCGTTGGCGTCGCACTCGTGAGACCGCGAGGAAGACGGCACGGAACGCAAGACCAGCGCCAGCGGGTCGACGCCCAGATCTTCCCACGTGGAGCCAAGAGGGACAAGCAGCGGATTACAGCCGACCCGTATCATAAGGATGCGCGGTAATGATGCAAGTGCCTTGGTAGGCCCTGCCGGCACTGTGCGGGCATAAGCGCGGCCAGCGAAAGCGGCCAAGGATGGGCCCAAGGGCAAGGATGCAAAGGTCCCCTTGGGAAGGTTGCCCATCCTTACTGTGCGGGTTGACCGTAGGCCCAGGTGCTGCGCGAGAGGTTCTCCGTGGCCAAGACCCAACCTGGCAAATGTCCCCTCGGCCGCCGGCCTCGTGGCGGAGGGAAGACTGACCTGGCGATGCACGACATGCGGGCGCGACGCCTTCGCAGTGAAAGACGCCGAAGACGTACAGTGAAGACCCGTGCCAAGAAACACCCTGCTTGCCTCCAGGGTGCCCTGGGTTTCTTGGGTTTCGACGGTTTTGCGGTGGAAAGCGTGACGCTCCCACACCAAAAATCGATGGACGTCCTAGGGTCTCAGGGTTGGGTTTTTGATGGAAGGTTTCTTGTGGACTGGCCTTCGCTGTAGTCCACGTACCAGTCGATCCGAGAAAAAGAAATTGTCCTTGGGCACGGCGCACGAAGAGTGACGGGGGCCAGCTCGACGCCCAGAGAGACACACGATTGGCCAGTTCTTGGCCGCGAAGATGGGCTTCTTGTGCTGGGGTCAACGCTGCAGTGCCGTTCCACCTGCAACCTTTGCAGGAACGGCCTAGCAGGATCGAGCAGCACGGGGGCCTCACTTCCAAAGCCCCGTTGGCAGTATCAGAAGCCCCGTCGGCAGGATCGCACGTTAAAGGGCGCGCGGACAGCCCGCGAGTATCCAGCCCACCTCGCTGGCCTCCAGCTCCGCGGCAAGCCTGTAGAGCCGGATTCCCCTCGGCCCCCGCCGGGACGGCCGCGGCCCTGCCAGGCCTGCCTCCCACGAGCGTCGAAGAGATGAGCGAGCCTCTGGCGGCGGACGGTGCCGCCCGCGCCTGCACCCGCCACGCGCGACCGCGCGTTGGCGGGCCGCCTCAGGAGAGGCCCATGTTCGTTCGTTCGTGCCGTAGGCTGCGGCAGCCCATGGGCGTGCACACTGGCCGATCAACTAAGCAAAAGTACCCGGCGCACTGCGTGGCGCCTCCTGGAGGCGTCACTCACAGCAGCCTGCAGGCGGATACGAGTTCCAGTTGCACGAATTGCGTGAGGCAACACGCTTCGAACCCATTCTGTTCGGGGCCTCCCGGTTCACCGGACGTACCTGCCGGTTGACATGCAGCTTCTTGCAAAGGATGGCAGAAGAAGGGGACGCGCAGGCAGAGGGGCGAAAGGCGGAAGGCGGTGAACAGCAGGAGGCGCATCGCGAACAGTCGGTGGCTGTGCGGGAGGTGGAGGGCATTTTGGCCCCTCGTGCTGCAGCGCCAGGACGGGGGGGTGCGGCCCTCCCTCCCGCACCAGTGCAGCTTCGGCTTCCACCTCGCCATCGTGGTCCCACCACTCGGGTTCCGCGTCGACGAAGGCAAGTTCCGCCTGGAGGGGGCCAGGAAGCGTGAGAGTCCGTGGAACGGCTGCCCGTAGAAGAGGATCCGCTCGGGCTGCGAGAAGTGTGACCGGTGACGAGGTAGCCGACGAGCAAGACAATGAGGAGCAGATAAAAGAAGCAGGCTTGGGATTGGATGTCGGAGGGGTCGACCTCAGAGGCAGACGAGCACGAGACTTCGCGCCCAGAGAGACTGACCGAAGAGCAGCAAGCATGTGTGCCAAGAAGCAGGAGGAGGAGAAGGAGGAGGAGGAGGAGGAGGAGGAGGAGGAGGAGGAGGAGGAGTGGGAGAAGCAGGAACAGGAGGACGATAAGGGGGGAACAGGGAGAAGAGGAGTCGCAGCGGGAGGAGAAGAAAGAGAAGGGGGAGGAGGAGGAGGAGGAGGAGGAGGAGGAGAGGAGGAGGAGGAGGAGGAGAAGGAAGGAGGAGGAGAGAAAGAAGGAGCAGGAGGAGAAGGATGAGAAGGAGGAGGAGGGGGAGGAAAGGGAAGAGGAGGAGAAGGGGGAGGAGGGAGGAGGAGGAGGAGAGGAGGAGGAGGGAGGAGGAGGAGGAGGAGGAGGAGGAGGAGGAGGAGGAGGAGGAGGAGGAGGAGGAGGAGGAGGAGGAGGAGAGGAGAGGAGAGGGAGAAGAAGGAGGAGGAGGATGATGAGGGGGGAGGAGGAGAAAGAGGAGGAGGAGGAGGAGGAGGAGGAGGAGGAGGAGGAGGAGGAGGAGGAGGCGGAGGAGGGGAGAGGAGGAGGAGCGGAGGAGGAGGGTGGAGGAGGAGGAGGAGGAGGAGGAGGAGGAGGAGGAGGAGGGAGGAGGAGGAGGAGGAGGCAGGAGAGGGGGAGGAGGAGAAGGAGCATGAGGAGGAGGAGAAGGAGAAGGAGGAGGAGAGAGGGAGGAGGAGGAGGAGGAGGGGGAGGAGGGAGGAGAAGGAGGAGCAGGAGGAGACGGAATGAGAAGGAGGAGGAGGAGGGGAGGAGGAGGAGGAGGAGGACGAGGAGAAGGATGATGAGGAGGAGGAGGAGGAGGAGGAGGAGGAGGGAGGAGGAAGGAGGAGGAGGAGGGGAGGAGGAGAGGAGGAGGAGGAGGAGGAGGGAAGGAGGAGGAGGAGGAAGAGGAGGAGGAGGAGGAGGGGAAGGAGGAGGAGGGGGAGGAGGAGAAGGAGGAAAGGCGACAAGGAGGCCCACCAAGCCCTCCTGGGCGATTTCACCCCGGCAGTGCGCGCTGAGCAGCCAGAGCGGGCCGTCGCGAAGGAGCGCGCCTCTTGCGGGGCGCGGCGGCCGTCGTCATCCTCGTCGTCAGCATCGTCGCCGTCGCCTGGGCCGTCGCCATCGCCGTCGTGGACGTCGTCGCCGTCGCCGCCGTCGCCATCGCTGTGGCCGAGGCCGTCGCCGTCGTGGACGTCGTCGCCGTGGTCATCATCGTCGCCGTCGCCGTCGTCGTCGCCGTCGTCGCCGTCGCCGTCGCCATCGCCGTCGCCGTCGCCGTCGCCGTCGCCGTCGCCGTCGCCGTCGCCGTCGCCATCGCCGTCGCCGTCGCCGTCGCCATCGCCGTCGCCGTCGCCGTCGCCGTCGCCGTCGCCGTCGCCGTCGCCGTCGCCGTCGCCGTCGCCGTCGCCGTCGCCGCCGCCGTCGTCGTCGTCGTCGTCGTCGTCATCGTCGTCGTCGTCGTCGTGTCCGTCGTCGTCGTCCGCGGCATCGCAGTCGCTGGTCACCGTCATCATTGTAGTGGGCGTCGACGTTGTTGTCGCAGTGGTCGTCGTCGGGTGACAAGCTCATCAGCAGCATGGCAGGCGAAGAAGGGGAGGGAGGAGGAGGAGGAGGAGGAGGAGGATAAGAACCCCAAATGTCCTTAGGAATCCCCAGGGGGCTATGTCGGAAAACTGGCTCCGGGTGCGTATCGAAATTTACTACCACCAGCTCTGTGAGTGCTTCACAGTGAAGTAGCGTCCACGCCAAACCACCCTTGAATTGTATATGCCACAAATGCACCTGCCTATAAAAAAGCTCAATTCCTTGACCTCTCGCCAACTGCTGGACACCCTTCGGTGCACCGCAGACGCCTCAAACACCTGCGTGTACTCAGATGCAACATATGCCACTGCTGCAGACGCCCACTAGCGTCCCAGCTCAGAACGATGCCGCAACTCAGATGAGTCCTGGCACTTTGACGTTGTAGTTGGCAAGGTGACGCCTGAATCGTCTAAAGGGTGCGCCGACTAGCGCGGGATCCAATACGCACCTGTGCCCACCGGGACATAATTCGGGCTCCCTGTAGGGCACGAAGCCAATGTGGACTACGCCGACTTAGGCGGGAACCGTTATCGTCCGTGTTCGGTGCGGCCCGAATGCCGTTTCCTTACGGACCACGGAGGATTTCGTGAGAGGTGTGCCGCCATTGGCGGAAACTAGTACGCCACCGCAAAATAGAAAGCAGTAGTTCGGGTTGTTGATGAGGTGCAAAAGCGTTGCGGGGTGCTCTGGCATGTGCGGGGTCCAATGTTGATCCACGCACGCTGCAGGTGTAGCTCGGGCTAGGTGCGGGGCAAACGACCGACATGGCCGGGACCCAGTATGCGCCCATGCCCCATGCCATGCCCGCTGGGGCCGTAGCTCGGACACCGTACGGGGCACAACACGTGCGCGATAACGAGGTTGGGGAGGACGGAACCGGACGGTTGAAGTTAGGTGCGCATTATGCAAATGATGAGGCCTCATACGACTGTGGCGCGGATGGGAAATCATTCGGGTAATCACGGTGAGCAGTGAGCAAGGATGCAGACAAGGTGATGAGACCCGCGCGGTAGGAAACTGACAGCGATGACACACACACACACACACGTGCACATTTTTGAACAGGTCGTGAAATACAAATGGACGAGCCGACGAAGGAACGACGAGTTCCCTCTAAAGGTGATGAGGCCACGGGGAAAGCTGCAGAAGGGTGCGAATCTAGGAAACAAGCGCCACCCAAATCAGCCAGAGAAATAGATGAGACGCGCACGCATATACGATGTGCACACAGCCAAATTATATTAAACTTATACATATGTACATAGAAGTTATCCACCCTGAAGCCCTTTATAAAATTTGTTTCTGGCAACATACAATTATAATTATGTATATATATGTATATATACATGTAGGTGTATATATAACCATGCGTGGTGAAAAAAATGGTGTCCAAAGTCACCCAACCGAATTTGAAGGTGTCAGGTCCATTGCTCGCGCAACCATCCCACAGACCCATTCGCAATTTGGTTTACAAAACCGCTGCGACGGCGATTGCGGTGACTGCTTGGCGTTGGCTGGCGCATCGCTGCGGCCGCGCTGGCGTGCGCAGGCTCGCGCGCAGAGCAGCTAGTCAGTTTGGCGCCACCGACGCGGCCACGGTGGCGCTGTCAGCTGGGGAATTCCCAACGCGTCTCGCAGGCCACGCTGGCACGCGGGCACTTCAGTGCAAGTCGGTGACTCGGGCGGGCGCGGTAGCATGGCGATAGTAGCATTGATGGTGATACAGCACGACAACAGCAGGCACGACGATGATAGTAGCATTGGTGGTGACGACGATGACGAAGCCGACCGTACGGCCAATGACGGCGCCGATGCTGATCACGCCGATGGCGAGGATTGCGCTTGCGCGTCGGCGAAGAAGGTTTTGGAAGGATTTCGACATGACCCTGCAGCCGACGGGCGCGAGTGGCCCGCATGGACGTATATTTGACAGGGATCGCGCCCCCCACCTCCCCCAGCAAACGCGCAAGGGCGCCCGAATGATGTCGACATGCGCGCGCGAGAGGCCCGCTTGGTCGCATTTGAGGAACATGGTAAACAGATGTGGTTGTTGTAAGACTTCGCAAAGGCGCGCAATCATATTTTTCTGACACCAAAATGTTCCAAAGCCAATGGTATTATATATGTGCTCGGGAAACTCGATCTTAGAATCCTCACGAAACCGAGCGTTCTTGAAGGATTTCGGCAAGCGCGCTCGACTCCGCGCACGTGGGCGTTGTCGCATTTGTTGCAAGGGATTGACAACGAATGATTCCTGATCAGTGTGTGCGCGCGCATACTATTTGTCTGGGATGAGGGACGTGTTGTTACCGACCTGGCTGGGGTGATACAATTTAAAATGGACAACGCGTGATGGGGGATAATCAGATGTACATTGCACTGTGCGGGGCTGGCCGGATACATCCAGGGGGTAGATCCTGATTCTTCTTAGGAACGGATACTATATGTGGTGCGCAATGCGCGGCCTGACCACCTCCACTGCTCGCGCAAACATCCCACCCACCCACCCGCAACTTGGTCGCAAGACTTCTCAAGACAAGACCGTGACGGTAGGTACCACATGGCACTTGGCCACGACACCGACGCCGACGACGATAGCGACAACGACGACGACGGCGCCGCCGACACCGACTACGACGACACCGCCGACGTCGACGTCGACGAAGACGACGACGACGACGCCGACGCCGACGACGACGACGAAGACGACGTGGCCAACGAAGACGACGACGAGGGAGGAGGGAGGACGACGACGGCAACAACGACGACAACGACGATGGAGGAGGGAAGACGGCGAGACGCGAACGACGAAGAAGGAGGACGGACGGCGACGCCGACGACGACAACGACGAGGGAGGAGGGAAGACGACGACGACAACGACGACGAAGACGACGACGACGGCGACGAAATAGGAGGGACGACGACGAGACGCCGACGACGGACGACGACGACGACGAGGGAGGAGGATAACGACGAGGGAGGAGTGAAGACGACAACGACGACGACGACGACGGCGACCAAATAGGAGGGACAACGACGAAACTCCGACGAAGACGACGAGGGAGGAAGGACGACCACGGCGACAACGACGACGGAAGCGACGACGACGCCAAGACGACGACGACGACGACGACGACGACGAGGAAAGACAGAAGACGACGACGGCGACGACGACGACGAGGGAAGAAGGAGGACGACGACGACGACGCAAGAGCGCGCGCGCACGCTTTTGTTGAAAATCCGTGTTGCGAAACCCTGTGTTTTTGTAGGTTTGTTGGACACACGATTTTGAAATCCTTCCGAAACCAGAGGTTTTCGAAGGATTTCGGCATGCGCGCGCGACGACGCGCGGGTCTGCACTTCGTCTCATTTTTTGTAAAGGATTCTCACGACGGCACACGCGCAAGGGCGTTCGACAGATTTCGACATGCGCGCGCGCGCGAAGCCCGTTTGGTAGCATTTTGTGAAAATCGTGAAAAACCTATGGTTTTCTTCAGATTACGCAAGAGCTGGCGCGTAAGCTTTTTTAGCCAACCAGTGTTGCGAAACCATGTGTTTTTGCATGTTTTTGGAAGCTCGATTGCGAAATCCTTCCGGCACCGAAAGTTTTTGCGGCATGCGCGCGCGACGCGCGCGTGTGCACTTCGTCGAATTTTTTGCAAGGGATTCGCGAAAAAGTGCTATGTTAGAACAAACAATGTCACCGCATAGTGTTTTTTACCAGGGAACCTCAGGGGGGGATACCGGCCCCCCTGGGATAGTGTAACTTCATCTTTAGGATGGACATGTGGTCAGAATCATACGTGATGTACATACCCGAGAGGTGAAGCGATAACGCCGGGGGGGGTAGATCCTATTCTGTTTTTAGATAGGAGAATCTATGTATTGAAATCAATTCACTTGCCCAACTTGAAATTGTCAACTCCACTGCTCGCGCAATCATCCCACCAACCCACCCGCAACTTGGTTTGCAAAACCCATGCGGGACCGAGCACAGATATCGCTCCGGGGTCGTCTTGGAACCCTCGGGGGCGTCTCAACAGCGCCCCAAGAAGGCCGGAGAAGCAAGACGGCCGACGACGACGACGACGACGACGACGACGACGGCGGCGACGACGACGACGCCGACGTCGACGACGACGACGACGAAGACGACGCCGACGCCGACGACGACGACGGCGACGGCGGCGACGTCGCCAACGAACACGACGACGAGGGAGGAGGGAGGACGACGACGGCGACAACGACGACAACGACGACAACGACAACGAGGGAGGAGGAAGGACGGCGACGACGCGAACGACAAAGAAGGAGACGACGCCGACGACGACAACGACGAGGGAAGAGGGAAGACGACGACGAGACGACGACAACAACGACGACGACGACGACGGCGACGAAATAGGAGGGACGACGACGAGACGCCGACGACGGACGACGACGACGACGAGGGAGGAGGAGGAAGAACGACGACCACGGCAACAACGACGACGGAAACGACCACGACGCCAAAGAGGACGACGACGACGAACACGAGGAAACACACAAAACGACGTAGGCGACGACAACAACAACGACGCGGGAGGAGGGAGGACGGCGACGACGACGACGACGACGACGACGACGCCGCAAGAGCGCGCGCGCACGTTTTTGTTGAAAATCCGTGTTGCGAAACCTTCTGTGTTTTCGTAAGTTTTTTGGACGCGCGATTTTGGAATCCTTTCGAAACCGATGGGTTTTGAAGGATTTCGGCGTACGCGCGCGACGACGCGCGCGTCTGCACTTCGTCCCATTTTTGGCAGAGGATTCTCGCGACGGCATACGCGCAAGGGCGTTCGACAGATTTCGCCATGCGCGCGCGACGCCCGCTTGGTAGCATGTTGCGAAAATCTTGAAAAACCAATGGTTTCCTTAAGATTACGGAAGAGCTCGCGCGTAAGCTTTTTTAGCCAACCAGTGTTGCGAAACCATGTGCTTTTGTAGGTTTTTTGGAAACTCGATTGCGAAATCCTTCCGGCACCGAAAGTTTTTGAAGGATGTCGGCATGCGCGCGCGACGACGTGCGCGTGCGCACTTCGTCCCACTTTTGCAAGGGATTCGTGAAAAAATGCTATGTGAGAACAAAAATGTCACCGCATAGTGTTTTGTTACAAGGGAACCTCAGGGGGGGGGGATACCGGCTGGCCTGGGACATTGCGATTTCATTTTTTGGATGGACATGTGGTCATAATCGTATATGGTTTACATACCCGAAAGGGGTAGCGATAACGACGGGGGGGGGGTAGAGTCTATCTCTTTTTAGAAAGGAGACTGAATGGTGTGCGATAAATGTGGCGCATTGAAAGTTGTGCAACCTAAGCGGTGCATCGTGTGTGATGCAATCCATGTGGTGCGATCGATGTGGTGCAATCGTTTTCCCAAACTAAATTGACACACCCCATGCTCTTGCCAACATCCCACCCACCCACCCACCCGCAACTTGGTTTGCAAAACCCATGCGGCGGCGATTGCGATGAGTGCTTGGCGTTGGCTGGTGCATCTCTGCGGCCGCGCCAGCCCGAACACGCGCTCGCAGCGGCCAGCTAGTGAGGCGCGACCGACGCGGCCGCGGTGGCGCTGACCGCTGGGCACATGGTAGCGGGCACTTCTGTATGAGTCGGCGACTTGGGCGGGCGCGGTATCACGGCAAAGTCGAGAACGGCAGACACGATGATGATAGTAGCGATGCTGGTGGCGAAATTGACAACGACGACGGCGCGGCCAATGACGGCGCCGATACTGATCACGCCGTCGACGGCGACGGCGCACTCGCGTCGGGGATGAAGGTTTTGGGTGGAATTCGACGTGCGCGCGCGGCCGACGCGCGACAGTGGCCCGCATGGCATTACTTGACGCGGATCGTGCCCCCCCAGCACACGCGCCAGGGCGTTCGAATGATTTCGGCATGTGGCGCGAGCGGTCCGTTTGGCAGAACTCGATGAACATGTTGAAAGAGAACCTGCATGGTTTTCTCATGAACTCGCATGAGCGCGAATGCAGGCTGTTTTTGAAAACGGTTATAGCGAAAGCAAATGTTGCTTAATATGGTTTCGCGACACTCGGTTTTGAAATCCTTGCGAAACCTAAGGTTGTTGACGGATTTCGGCGCGCGCGCGACGACGCGCGCGCACTTCGCCTGGTTGTTTGCAAAGGGTTCTCGCGACAGCGCGCGCGCAAGAGCGCTCGAGCGATTTCGACATGCGCGCGCGAAGCACTTTTGGTAGCGCGCCATGAAAAAAGTTTGAACAACAAAAACACCTGTGGCTTCGTAAGAACTCGCAAGAACACGCGCGCCCGATTTTTTTGTTATGAAAAACCAGCGTCGCCGGTGTTTCTTGGGCACTCGACTTTTAACTCCTTGCGACACCGAAAGTTTTTGAAGGATTCCGGCATGCGCGCGTGACGACGCGCGCGCGCACGTCGTCCCATTTGCTCCCAGGGATGATTGAAAGCCGATGGTTTTTGATAGATCAAAACGCCCGCATCATTTCTGTTGCAGAAGATGGATGGCGAGAGGGGAGGGTCGATGCGGCCCGGCCGGGGTGGTCTGAGTTCACACTTAGGATGAACGATGGGGCAAGGTCATGTGTAAATCGCACTATGAAACGGGGAACGGATGCTCCCAGGGGGGGGGGGGTAGAGTCTATTTTCTTTGATGGAAGGAGAATACATTTCTCTTCGCAGTGACTTGCCCACTCCATTGCTCTCGCAATCATCCCACCCACCCTCCAGCAATTTGGTTTGCGGAACCCACGCGGCGGCGACTGGGGCGAGTGCTAGGAGTTGGCTGGCGCATCTATGGGGCCGCACTAGCCCGCGCATGCTCGCGCGCGCAGCGGCCAGTTGGTTTGGCGCGGGCGCGATGACCGCCGGGCACTTCGCAGCGGGCACTTCAGTGCGAGTCGGCGACTTGGGCGGGCGCGGTAGCATGGCAATGCCGGCAACAGCAGACGCGAAGATGCTGATAGCGATGCCGGCGACGATGGCGAAAGCGACGACGGCAAGGCCAGGGACGGCGCCGATGCTGATCACGCCGACAACGATGACGGCGTCCTCGCGTCGGTGATGAAGGAGGGACTTCGACGCGCGCGCGCGGCCGACGCGCGAGAGTTGCTCGCATTGTATAAGCTGACGCGGATCGCGCCCCCGCCCCCCCCCGTCCGCGCGAAAGGGCGTTCGAATGATTCCGACGTTCGGCGCGAGGGGTCCGCTCGGCCGAATTGACTGAAAACGATTTGATACAAGGAAATGTTGTGGACAACCAAAGGAGACAATACAAACAATGGTTTCCATAATAATTCGCAAGGGCGCGAGCGCAGACATTTGTGAGAACAGATGTTGCAAACCATGTGTTTGTTTCTGTGTTTTCGGGGCGCTCGATTTCGAAATCCCTCTAAAGCCTAAAGATATTCCAGGGATTGCGGCGTGCGCGGGCGACGACGCGCGCGCACTTCGCCCCATGTGTTGCGAGGGGTTCTTGCGACAGCACGCGCGCAAAGGCGTTCAAACGATTCCGACATGCGCGCGCGAGAGGCCCGTTTTAAGTGATGAACAAAGTTAATGTTAAGGGTTTCTTAACAATTCCAAGAACCCGAGCGCGCCAGCTAATTCGCGTTGCGAAGCCATACGTTTACGCGTGTGTTTGTGCGTGTCGGGCAATCGAAGGCGCGTGTCCAGCCGCGCGGGGGCAACTGACCGCGGCCTCTACCAGCGGGGGCCCACATGGGCCGCTCAGGGACCTCAGTGAAAAACCTGAGAGCACCAGAGCAGGCAATGCCCGAAATATTACCGAAATCAAACGCCCCAGAAGCAAAGGCACTTCGGCCCCTGCCCACCGAAGGTTTCAGAGCGGACCCCGGGAAACCCCGAGGCCCCGCGACGCACCAGCCCAGAGGCCAACATGCAGGGCCAGGCACTTCGGCCCAAACCCTGGCCAAGTGGAAAAAAAAACAATTCACAACCTGAAGCAAACGATCAGAAGCCCACCCAAGCCGAGCCTCAATCAGAAGAGCAGGACGGCCGATCCCCACCTGAACGACCCCCGCCCGCTCGCCATGCCTCAGGCCACACGGCGCGCCAAAGGCCTCAGCATCAGGTGTCGCCATCGGCCAGCTTGCGGAAGCAGCGCCAATCCTGCTGCGACAGCGCTGCCCCGCCAATGCTGGAGCCGCCGATGCGGGTCAGGCGAGGCACGTCCCAGACGACACTCGCCACGGCGCCCTGCATGTCGAACTCGCCCCATGCGTGGTCCACCACGCCTCTGGCTCCAAATGGCACGCGGCGAACCTGACGGAGGGGAACACGCGACTTGATGACCTCGACGCGATCCCCGACTTTCGGGGCCGCCGCAGCACGGCGCGCCAGGCGCGCCTGCTGCCTGGCCTGGCTTCGCGCCGCGGGCGACACGCAAAAGACGGCGACACGGTCGTCCTGCTTCTCCGCCTGCGCGTCGCGGGAGACGAGGTAGGTCCGGTTCTTCGCCCTCCTGCTCCGCCAAGTCAGCCAACAAGGCGCCCGGCGCGCCGAAAGCACCATTGAAACCCGCGCCGCCGTCGTGCACCAACAGCTGGGCCACCTCCCGGTCTCCCGCACCTCATCCTCCACCGACCCCTGGCCGACGACGTCGCGATGAGGGGTCGGAAAAGGAGGGGCCCTTGGAGAGGTCCAACGCGCGGTCGATGCCCTGGAACTCCTCGCCCCCCACGTCCGCTGGAACGAGCGCCGGCTCCATCGCCGCGCCCGCCTCCGCGACGTTGCTCTTGGGGTCGCCGACGCTGGGGCCCACCAGGTTCTCCAGGGCCGCCGCGTAGCGCCCCCTCACGTCCTCGAGCGCCAAAGCAAGCCTGTCGCGCTCCTCCGCGCGGTCCTGGAGGCGGCACTCCACCTCTGCGAGCGCGAGCCCGTCGCGCTCCTCGGCGCGGGCCTGGGCGCGGCCCTCGGCCTCCGCGATCGCCGCGCTCGCCTCCTCGGCGGCGCCGGCGGCAGCCTGAGGCCGGGCGCGGGTCTCCCGGAGCTCCGCGGTGAACGCGCCGTGCTCGTCGAGGGCCCCGTCGACGCGGTCGGCCGACTCGGCGTGCGCCGCCGCCGCGGCCATGGCAGGCGCTTCGCCGAGGGCCCCGCCGAGCGGCCTCAGCACGGAGAGGAAGGGCGGGACGGGGTCGAGGACCACCTCCTCCTTGCTTTCCTCCTCGCCGGACGCCTTGGCACGCCGCCTCGGCCCGCGGGCGCGGCGCCCAGCCTCGCGCGCCGTGGTCGGCACCTGCTCGGCGCCGATGCCGAACTCGGCGCAATTTGCACAGTCGCGGCAAGCCTTGCGGCCGCCCAAGGGGTGGGGCAGCACGCCCTCGCGGCCCGCCGCCACCTGCATCGTCAAGTGTGCCCTCGCGAGCCTCTCGCGCGCTGGGACCTCCTCGTGCACGGCCGACGCCTTCGGCTCCAGGTCGAGGGCGAGCTCTACGCCAGTGCGGAGGATTGCTGCACGAGGTGGTGGCGCCCTCCGCCTCCCTCTGCCGCCCGTGCAACCGCAGCCCGCACGAGCGGGGCAAGCGCCACCAGCGTCTGGCAGCGCGCGACCGCAACCATCCCCGTCGCACCGTCGTCCACGGCCGCCATCGCAGGGGCCGCGACACGGGGAGCAGGACAGAGCCGCTCTCTCCTACGAGAAGGAAAGGTACGGTGCGCACCTGCCCGCCCTGGCACCAGGGCTGGCTTGAGCCAAGATGGCTACGGATGTTTCAGGGATTGCGGCATGCGCGAGCGACGACGCGCGCGCGCACTTCGTCCCATTTGTTGCAAAGGGTTCTTGCGACAGCACGCGCGCAAAGGCGTTCGAACGATTCCGACATGCGCGCGCGAGAGGCCGTTTGAGTTTAAGTTATGAACAGGTTAAAAACAAATGTTTTTTTCTTAAAAATTGCAATAACCCAAGGGCAAGCTTATTCGTGTTGCGAAACCATGTGTTTATGTGCGTGTGTTTGTGTGTTGTGTGTTGTGTGTGTTGTGTGTGTGTTGTGTGTGTGTTGTGTGTGTGCTTCGGGACATTCAATTCGGATTCCGGCATGCGCGCGCGACGACGCGAGTGTGTGCAATTCGTTATATTGCAAGGCGTTCTTGAAAACTGATGGCTTGTGATAGACGGGTGCGCGGGCATTGTGTTTTTTGCAACGGATGAAGGGGGGTATCGATACCGGTCGCCTGGGATGGTGGGAGTTCATATTTCGGATGGGCGATGGGGCAGAATCATATGTAAATTTTGGTACGACAAGGGGGACCGTTAATTCTGGAGAGATAGATCCCAGTACATCGCGGGGGAATCATTAATGTCAAACCCAAGAATCGTCAGAACCGACGTCGTGGACTCTTCGGGAACGAATACAACAAGGGGGGCCGCAGAACTGACGGAAATACCTCCCTCACCATTAAGAAACGGTCACAAACAAAAACTGACGACCGCCACCTGGGGAACTGCGGGGGTACTGCAGCGAAGAAGAGGGGTTGGGAATTCAGACGACGGCGCGGCCGCCCGACCCGTTAGTCCCCTTTGCCGAAAGTGAACCGACGACGGCGCGGCCAGAAAACCCCTAAGTCGTTTTCTATTGGAGTCGCGCTAGTGGTCCCTGAAAAGGAGGCTCTATGTTGTGCAATCAAAGTGGTGCAATGTATGCTGTGCGCTGTATGAACTTTACGCGGTGCAATCTATGTCGCGCAGTTCATGTGGTGCAGTCTGTGCGGTGCGTTCTAGGGCGGCAGCAAGGCGGCGACCGCGAGCACGGAACCGCAAGACCAACACCCTGGCCCAGACGACGGGCAACGACCGGGCGGCGACGGGGCGGCGATGGCGAGCGCGGAACCTCCAGACCAACACCCAGGCCCAGTTCCTTAAAACAGAAATTAAAGAACCCCTAAGTGTAACCACTGCTTGGGGAATACATACATATATTGCATGTACATCTCTATGTTTATCTAGGGGCGAGAGAGAGAAGGAGAGAGAGAGAGAGAGAGAGTGAGTCCAACACATACTGATTGGCTGGATCCCCCCTCCAGCGATTCGGATCTCCAGGGTCCCGCGGCCCCCTCTGACCTCCTGGACGCCCCTGCCAAGCGTCTCCTCGGGCTTCTCGGCCTCCTGGACGCCCCTGGCGGACCTCGAAAATGGACCCACAGCAACTGCGAGGCTGCCGGAACAGCCTCACGGGAGCCCCAGATGGCACTATACCCTGCTGAGACGCCCCAAGGCGAATCAGAGAAGACCCCCGAGACGCCCCCCCGAACCCCCCCAAATATAGGTTCCCTCAGAGCTTTGGGACGTTTGGGGGACATTCGCTCGTGCGATCTACAGGTCGTTCGAGACCGCCGGAAAGCCCCATACATCGCTCCAAGACAAGCCAAAAGGGCTTCAAGACGGCCCCAGAAGAAAGCCCACAGACGGCCAAGCAGGGCCCCAAGACGGCATACTATGGCCCCAAGACGCCCCCGAAAGCACTCCGATCGGAACCCCGTCGTTGAGGAAAACCAGACATGGCACCGCCCACAGAGGCTCCCCAAAGGCTCCCAGGAGTTCTCCAGAGGCCCCCACGAGGCCCCCAAGCAGCACTCGAGATGCCCTCTGGAGACCCTCCAAAGAAGGAGCCTCCACCAAAACATTTCGGAGGACGGAGAGGTGTTCGCAAGGAAAAGGCGAGAACGAGAAATGGGAAGAAGGAGGAGAAAATGGAAAGAGAACGACGATAGCAAAAACGGGAAGAATAATAAATTCGTCTCCCTCTCTCTATCTGTCGTCTGTCTCTGCCTCTGTCTCTGTCTCACTCTCTCTCACTCTTTTTCCTTCTACGAAGCTTGAAGGACCTAATTTGGTGAATGGCGCAAAGCGCCAATGAAGTCTTGTACGTTTGGGTATAAATGGGAGAGGGAGAGAGACAGAAAGAGAGAGAGATAGAGCGAGCAAGCGAGAGGACGAAATGAATAGCTCCGACAGTGGTAGCCACGCGCGACAAAGTCGTATTCCTGACCATTCGGCGTGGGAGCGGGCAAATGATGAGGAGAGCGAGATATTCACCACCACCGGAGCTCTGTAAGCCCGCTTGGGGGCCCAGACCTCGGTGGGAGGCGGCAGCCACCAAGATCGTCAAACTGGGCGTACGGAAGCGCAGCTGCGGTATATACAACACACAATCATAACAATCAGACCTCGTCCACCGTGAACCCGCCATCAACAGCTCGCCCCGAGAAACCGGCCGCCAACACTCGCTGGACATGCACACGACGTGACCCAAGTCATCCGCCGACGCGAACGTGACCAGGAAGTTCGAAGGTCCAAGGAGGAGGGGCGAGGGGAGTGGATGAGGGACAAGGGGAGCACAGTCACAACAATTAAGAAATCTTGCCGCACCAAATCTGAAGGCGAATGCTCCGTCGATCTCAAGCCTCGCGGCACGCCCCAGAATCTCCAGGGCCATCGCGGAAGAATTAGGTCGGGCGTGTCCCCCTACAGGCCGATTTTGGACGACAAATGAAAAATAGTCCAAAACAATACACCAAACATATTCAAAACATGCGTTAAAAATCGTACCCATTTTTATACTTTCTATATTTGAAGATTCCTCCTGTAGAGGGACAGGACCGACTTAACTCAAGCCTCGCGGCACGCCCCAGAATCTCCAGGGCAATCGCGGAAGAATTAGGTCGGGCAGGGCTGAACCCAAACAGCGTTTTTCGTTTTCGTTTTGTTTTCGTTTTCCGTCGCTTTTGTCTCGATTCCGCCTTCACTGCAAAATGAAGTCGCAACGAAAACGGCCCACGAAATCGCCAAAGCACTGTTTAGGTCCAGCCCTGAGGTCGGGCATGTCCCCCTACAGGCCGATCTTGGACGAAAAAATCAAACATAGTCAACAAACACCACCAACAATATTCAAAACATGCTCAAAAACTTGTCACCCGACTATTTCTGATTATTTCTGAATCTTCCTCCTGTAGAGTGACACGCCCAACTTAACCCAAGCCTCGCGGCACGCCCCAGAATCTCAAGAGCCATCGCGGAAGAATTAGGTCGGGCATGTCCCCCTACAGGCCGATCTTGGACGAAGAAACCAAAAATAGTTTTGCACACCAGAAATATTCAAAACATGCTCAAAACATCGTCACCAGACTATTTCTGACTATTTCTGAATATTCCTCCTGTAGAGGGACAGGCCCGACTTAGCTCAAGCCTCGCGGCACGCCCAAGAATCTCCAGGGCCATCGCGGAAGAATTCGGTCGGGCCTGTCCCCTATACAGGCCGATCTTGGACGACAAATTAAGCACAGTCAAAAAAACGCCGACAACATTCAAAACATGCTCAAACAATCGTGGCCAGACTATTTCTGAATATTCCTCCTGTAGAGGGACAGGCCCGACTTAGCTCAAGCCTCGCGGCACGCACAAGAATCTCCAGGGCCATCGCGGAAGAATTCGGTCGGGCCTGTCCCCTATACAGGCCGATTCTGGACGAAAAATTAAAAATAGTCAAAACAATGCAACACAAATATTCAAAACATGCTCAAACATCGTCCCCAGACTATTGTTTGACTAGTTTTGGAGATTCCTCCTGTAGAGGGACAGGCCCGACTTAGCTCAAGCCTCGCGGCACGCCCCAGAATCTGCAGGGCCATCGCGGAAGAATTAGGTCGGGCATGTCCCCCTACAGGCGGATTTTGGATGAAAACTTGAAACTAATCAAAAAATACACCAACAATGCGCAACAAATGTTCGAAACATCGTCCCCAGACTAGTTTCCGACTATTTTTGAATTTTCCTCCTGTAGAGGACAGGCACGACTTAACTCGAGCCTCGCGGCACGCCCCAGAATCTCCAGGGCAAACGCGGAGGAATTAGGTCGGGCATGTCCCCAACAGGCCGACCTTGGACGAAAAATCAAACATAGTCAAACAAAAAGACTCCAAAAATGCACCAAATGTTCAAAACATCGTCACCAGACTATTTTTGGGCTATTTCTGAATATTCCTCCTGTAGAGGGACAGGCCCGACTTAGCTCAAGCCTCGCGGCACGCCCAAGAATCTCCAGGGCCATCGCGGAAGAATTAGGTCGGGCCTGTCCCCCTACACGCCGATCTTGGACGAAATATCAAACAGTAGACCCCAATTTACACCAAAAATGACAAACAATTAGCAACACATCGTACCCTGACTATTTTTCGACAACTTTTGAACTTTCCTCCTGTAGAGGGACAGGCCCGACTTAACGGAAAAAGAAATTATCCCAGCGCGACCCTACCTAGCAGTTGGAGCCCCTAGGAAAGCAGCATAAGCTAAGCTAAGCTAAGCTAAGCTAAGCTAAGCTAAGCTAAGCTAAGCTAAGCTAAGATAGCTAAGCTAAGCTAAGCTAAGCTGAGATAAGCTAAGCTAAGCGAAGCTAAGCAGCGGTAAGCTAAGCTAAGCTAAGCTAAGCTAAGCTAAGCTAAGCTAAGCTAAGCTAAGCTAAGCTAAGCTAACATGCGATAAGCTAAGCTAAGCTAAGCTAAGATAAGCTAAGCTAAACTACGCTAAGCTAAGCTAAGCTAGGCTAGGCTAAGCTAAACTAAGCTAAGCTAAGCTAGGCTAAGCTGAGCTAAACTAAGCTAAGATGAGACAAGGAAAGCTAAGCTAAGATAAGCTGAGCTAAGCTAAGCTAAGGTCAGCTAAGGTAAGGTAAGCTAAGCTAGGCTAAGCTAGGCTAGACTAAGCTAAGCTAAGATGAGATAAGCTAAGCTAAGCTAAGCTAGGCTAAGCTAAGCTAAGCTAAGCTGAGGTAAGGCAAGTTAAGCTAAGCTAAGCTAGGGGAACCCAGGGGGCGCAACCGGGGGAACCAGGGGAGCGCAACCGGGGGAACCGCCCGGGGTGAGCAACACTGCCCGCCCCCTTTAGCCAACAAAGTAAGAACCCTTCTAGGCAGAGCCTAGGTAGGGAACAAATGTCCGAGGCGCGCCTGCTGGCAGGCCGATGCCCCACTCGGCGTGTAACTGGCAGGCTCGTGTCGCGCCGACCCCGGCGCCGGTTCCTGACACCGCGGGAATCGTTCCACCTTGAACGATCGAGCGTTTCCGAAACGTCTGATGGGCCTGTTTTCCACCACCACCACCATCAGTTGGAGGGGGGAAGGAGGTGGAGGATGATGAGGAGCAGGAAGAAGAAGAGGGGGAGACGGACCCCCTCACCCCTCCAACTTATGGTGGTGGCGGTGGAGAACAGGCCCATCAACGTCAGCTCGTTCAGCATCGACCGACTCTGCGTCGCCAGCGGCGTTCAACGTTGACCGCCAGCGGCGGGGTCGCCGCCGGTGGAAACGACGCGAACCTATCGCATGATGCTCTCTCTTCTTCGATCTCTTTCCCCCTCTCCTCTTGCCGTCGCCCGGATGTCCACTCCCACGTGCACTATTTGGTTTCCTGAGCGCTTTTGCTGTCTCGAGATGGTCGAAGATGCTCCGGAACGACGCGAACCTACCATACTTTCCTCTCCCTCTCTCATTCTTTTTTTTGTTTCTCTCTCTCTCTCTCTCTCTGAGGAGAACAAACAAACTACGTAAACATAAAATCTCGGAGGTCCGCGCGGATCTCTCGGATCCGCGCTGGACCCCCTCCCTGGCGCGCGGAGCGTGCCATGGGAGGCGCCGGAGGCGCCGCCAGGGGGCCCCAGCGCGGATCCGAGAAATCCGCGCGGACCTCCGAGCTAGTATGTTCATGCCATTGTTCGTGCCCCTAGACTAGAAGAGCAACTAGACTAGGAGGAACAACAACACCAGTAGGACTCTTTGTGTGTGCGTCTTCTCCCCCCCGAGGACTCGCAGAACAACAGCACCTAATAGAAGCATCACCTCTCGCAGCTCCGCGCGGCTCTCTCGGCTCGGGCGCCAGGCCCCGCTCCCCGAAGGTTTCTGTCTGCGGCAGGCCCGTGCCGGGTCGACCCCGGCGTCGGCTCCTGGCACCGCGGGGATGGCTCGGCCCTGAGCGATCGGCCGTTCAGGAAACCGGAGGCCTCCCAGGTGGGGTCCGAGGAGGTGGGGTCGGAGGATCGCGCCGCATCGCCGATACATCGGCGATGCATCGCCGACGCATCGGCGATGCATCGGCCATGCACTGGCGACGTCGGCGATGCATCGGCGACGTCGACGTGAAGCAAGTCGAGCCCCACATCGAGCCGCGTCGGCGATGCATCGGCGCTGTGGCGCGATCCTCCGACCCCAGCCACTCCGACCCCATCCCAGAGGCCTAGGTGAACGCCGGCGGCGGGGTCGCCG